AGCAGCGCGTGGAAGACACGGAACAGTATGCCGCCGCCGCCGCGCTTGGTGTGATCGATGTTTCGGGCGCCGAGCAGATCGAGGAAGCCGTGGAGGAGAAGCTGCAGGACGGTTTTGACATCCAGGCTGTGGACCAAGAGCATTCCCAGGGCACGGATCCATTCGATGCGGAGGGTGACGACGGCGACGGCATCCAGGAGCCCGCGGACGGGCGAGCGTGCAGTTCGCCGCGGGGCCGGGCTGCGGAGCCGTCCAACCAGGAGGTGATCGACGCGTGGGGGGCGACCCAGGAGGACCCTGCGCAGATCGAGCAGGCCGTGGAGGAGAAACTAAATAACGGCTTCAGCAGTTCAGCAGCCAGGCGGAGGTCCAGGAACAGTTTCTGGGCACGGAGCCTTTTAATGGGGCGGGCCCCCACGACGACGCCATCAGGGTCATTTCCGGAGTCCGGGCCATTGTGGCGGTGCGTTTTTGGACTCCCATGGTCGCTTTATTTTTCGGTTGTTTCTCCCGTGTGTAGGATTTTTTCTTTTCTTGTTATCCTTCATTATTGTTCTTTTTCTCTCTCAGGATCTCTCTCTATCTCCCTTTCTTTGAATAGCATGTTCATTCTCTCTCACAAATTCCCCCTAAGCTTCCTCCACGCGCTCCTGCCCCTCCTTCCCCCTCCCCCTGCTGCTGCTGCTGCTGCTCCTCCCCATCGTCCTTTTTTTCCTCCTCCTCTCTCCCCTCCTCCTTGTTTGCCTCTTCCTTCTTCTCTTTTGTCCTCCTCGTCATCATCCACCCTCTCCCACTCCTCCTCGTTCTTCTCCCCAGACTCCTCCTCCTCCTCCTCCTGTTCCTCTTCCTCCTCCCTTTCCCCCTCCGCCTTCCGCCTTCCCCTCCTTCTCCTCCTCCTGCTCCGTCAGTCCTGCTGATCCTCCTCCCCATATTCCAAGCCCCATGAGAAAAACGAAAGGTAGAGGGGAAAGACGAGGCGAAGGAAAAGGAGGAGGAGGAGGAAAGGGCGAAGAGAAGGACGAGTGTGAGGGGAGGATTGGGTGGAGGAGGGGGATGCAAAGGGGAAAAAGGCGGAAGAGGAAGAGGAGACAAAGGACGCGTAGAAAGCGGGGGATGTGTATGATGAGGAAGAACAGGTGGAGGAGGAATATGAGGAGGATGATGATGATGAGGAGGAGGAGGAGGAGGAGGAGGAGGAGGAGGAGGAGGAGAGATGGAGGAGAAAAGAGGGATGAGGGAGAAAGGGTGAGGAACGGGAGGGGGGATAATATGGGAGGAGCAGGAAGAAGAGGAGGGGGGAACGGGGGTGGGAGGGAGGAGGAGGAGGAGGAGGAGGAGGAGGAGGATGAAAAGGAGGAAAACGGGGAGGATCAACAGGAATCCTTGTGTACCCCGCCTGTAAAAAGGAATCTTTTTTTTTGTTTTTTTTAAAAAAAACAATCCGCACAAGATAAGTTTTGTCGTAACTCGCCGCCAAAGGGATCCTTCAGTAATCCGCCACAAAGGGGAGGCTTGCTGTAAACCTCCACGGAAAAATCTTGTGGTAATCCGCCACAAAAAAGAATCCGAGTGTAAACCATTACAAGTAGAATATGTTTGGCAGATGCCACAAAAAGAACTCCTTCTGGAATGCGCCACACAACGAATCCTCCTTCTATATCCCGCAGCAGTGGAACCCTTTTTTCCTAAACCGCCTCCAACAGAATCCGAATGCAACCGCTTCAGGGGAACGGCGCTCGCCCCCCCGAACAAGTAACACGAAACTATGGGAAACAAGGCACACTGGAACATACATATAAGAACACGGCGAAGACACGAGAAACGAACATTAGGTTCAAGGCGAACAACGGGGACATAGGACAATTGGAGCACCACGAAGAATCCCTTTTTTTCGCCAGGCTCCACAAGGCAAATCCTCTTGTAATCCTTTGCACCGGGATTTTTTTGGTGGAGGGTTACAATTGATTTCCTTTCGTGACGGCTCACAAATGGGTTCCTTTTAGGGGGGATTCCAAAACATCTATTTTGCGGATGGTGGAGGCGCAAGCAGGAAGAGGTGGAGGATTGAACGGGTGCGGGGGGGATGATGGGGGAGGACTGAAAGGATGAGGAAAAGGAGGACGAGGACAAGGAGGAGGGGTGGAGGATCAACATGAATCTTTTTTGTATTCCGACTCTAAAAGGGTCTCGTTGTAATGCGCACAAAAGGGATCCTGTCGCAATCCGCAGCGACAGGCGCCTTTGTGCAATCCGCCACAAAAGGGGTTCTTTTGTAAGCGTCCACAGAAGGACGAATCTTGTTGTACCCCGCCCCCCCCAAACAAAGATCACATTGTAACCCATTACACATGTAATCCGTATATACGATGCCACAAAAAGAATTCTGTTTTTTATCATGCGCCGCAAAATGGGTCTTTTAGCATCCCGCGCAACAGTATGTATTTTATGACCCGCTGCGCAAGGGATCGTTGTGCAACCAGCCACATCAACGGAGTCCTGTTGTAAGCTTCCACAAGAAGATTTTTGTGTACGCCGCCACACAAGAGATCCTTGTGTATCCCATTACAGGTGGAATCCCTTCGCAAGGTGCAATACAAGGAATCTTTTTTGGAACGCGCCACAAAAATGATCCCCGTTGTAATTCGCACAAAAGGAATCCTTTTGCAATTCACCTTCAAAGGGATCGTTTGTAATCTGCCTCAGAGGAAATCGTTTTCTCTTGCGAACAAGGTACGGAACAGGACAAGGAACAAGCAACATTAGGGAACACCTATAAACAAAAAACGGAAACAAAGAAACGCTGGAGATTATCTTCAAGGGGGGAAAGGACAAATAGGAAACATTGCACAGACAGTCGCAATCTTTTGTTGTTGTAATCCTCCACAAAGGAAATCCCGTTATAGTCCGCGCAAAAGAAATTCTTGTGTGGCCAGCCACAAAAAGGAATCCATTTGTTTTCCCCCACCAAGAAATTCCTTTGTGTCAATCTCCACAAAAGGACTTCCTTGGCAACCCGCCTAAGAAGAATCCCTTTGTACTCCCTCTCAGGGGAAAGGCGCTCACCCCTCTGAACAAGGCACGGAACAACCGGAAACAAACCGAAACATATGAAATAAACCGTAAAAAATCACAGCGGGGAAATAATCAACATCGATATTATATGCAGGGGGAGAAGGACAAGTAGGAAAACATTGAAGGTCCATTGACGTCTTTTTGTATTCCTCCATAACACGAAACCCTTTGAAATTTCTACGAAGTGAAACCCGTGTGTAATCGCCCATATGAGGAATTCTGTTGTAATCGTCCACAATAGGAACCGGTTTGTATTTGATTACAAAGGGTTTCTTTCTGTTGAAGGCTGTAAAAAAAACGATTCCGATTGTCCCCTAAGTTTTCCTGTTTTTCCTTTTTTCCTCCACTGAAGATAATCTCAAGTTTGTCTTTCTTCCCGCTGTGTGTTTTTACAATGTTTTACATGTTGCTCTTTGTTGTTCCTGCTTTTTTACGTGCCATGTTCCGGAGGAAGGGGGGAACGCCTTTTCTCCGAGGCGGATTACAAAGGGATTTTTTTGCGGGTTTCAAAGGGATTACATCAGTGGAGAGTCACAATGAAATCCCTTCTGTGGGGGAAGACGAAAGGATTCTTTTCGTGGCTGGCCACAAAGAAATTTCTTGTGCGGACTACAAAGGGATTCCCTTTGCGCAAGATCCCGAGGATTTCTAGTGTCTCTCCAATGTTTCCTAGTTGTCCTCTTCTCCCCTGAAGGTATGTTTGTTTGTCATTTTGCCCGCTGTGTTTTTACAGGTGTTGTTTCAGATGTGTCCTTGATTCCTATTTTTCCTTGCCTTGTTCGGAGGGGGGAAAGCCTTTCCCCTGAGGCGGATTACAAAGGAATTTCTCTCGGCTGCGGATTTCACAGGGATTCCTTTTGTGGAGAGTTGTACAAGGATTCTTTTGTGGGGAATACAAAGGGGTTCATATCTAGTCACCGGTGTTCACAAACCAAGAAACACTACAACGACGAACGCCAGACAACACAACGCAAACAACTATATCATACATCAAAACGAGCCGTTGCACCGCACACGTCGCACCGCCACACTGGCCCGTACTCCATTTCCGAGGTGGTTCAGGAACAATTCGAAACCACCAGGTGGAAGTACCGCGCTGGCGAAAACTGGCTGTTTGTCGGCAGCCAGATCACGAAGATAGAGAACACACATGTTCAGTTCATTGAAGGAGGCGATGACCGACAGTACAACATGAAAATTGATAGTTGCACGCCTGTCCGACTAGACTTCGTATGTTTCTGTATGAAGCCATGCTATAGCAAAAACACATTCAATAGCCTCAGTTACAAGCTATGGAGGCCGCTAGTGCCTCAGTTACAAGCTATGGAGGCCGCTAGTAGCGCTGCCCGCCGTTACTGACGTGCGATCTAGTTAGTATTGTATACAGCTGCGGCGCATTCAGAGAAGTGCTCCTTGCATGCGGTGTCTGCGCATCTCTATCGTATCCTGTTTTGGAGGTCGCAGTGGCGTCTTCTGAGACCTTCCATGACAAGTTGCGGATTTATGTGCCGCCCGCAGGTCGAGTAGCCAGGCATACCCCGGGTGCTTCCAGGCGTAGGAGAGCGGCGGAGGCTACGCCCCTCGCCCAATGCAATTCGACATCGACACACCCAAGCTGTGCGCTTGTCCTCCTTTTGCTCCTCCTCCTCCTCCTCCTCCTCTTCCTTATCCTCGTTCTCCTCCTCCTCCTCCTCCTCCTCCTCCTCCTCCTCCTCCTTCCTCCTCCTCCTCCTTCTCGGTCCTCCTCCTCCTCCTCCTCCTCCTCCTCCTCCTCCTCCTCCTCCTCCTCCTCCTCCTCCCCTTCCTCCTGCACCAGCACCGCAGAACAGCCCTTGCTCCGCCCTGCCGCCGACGTCCGGGGCAGCCCCGCCGGAGCCGCTTGCCGGCGGGCGCGCCCGCGGGAGCGTCTCCGGCCGCGCCCCGGAGAGGCCGCGCGCTTGCAGCTGCAGGGCACCTTGCAGCGCGGCCGCTCGCCGCAGGGCCAGGCCAGCCGGGAGGGGCCGCGCCCGGCTTTGCGAGGCCGATGCAGCGTGATCTTCCGACGCCATTTGCTCGGACCCCATGCACAAGGGCGGCCTCCAGGGCGCGAAGTTACTCGCACTTCGCGGTTCGGCTCCGATTCTCCATGATCTTCTGCTCCCTTGGGAGGTGGCGGGAGAGCGCCAAGCTATTCGCACCTCGCGCTTCGCGCAGCGCGAAGCGCGCAGCTGGGAGCCCTAAGTTTAAGAGACCGCTGCACTGGATACCCATGCCACGAAACACCCTGCTTGCCTCCAGGGCGCCCTGGTTTTTTTCTCAGGTTCCGATGGTTGTGCTGTGGAAAGCGTGGCGTTCCCACCCCAAAAGCCAGCGGGCGTCCTGGGGTCTCAGGGTTGTTTTTTTGTGGAAGGTTTCTTGTGGTCGGGCCTCCAAGGCAAAAGACCGCTAGTTCAAGAGAGATGAGCTCCAGCCTAGAGATTGACACCACCACCAATATCAGCGGTGTGCCTCCACCGAGGGAAGAAGATCCCGATCTCGGTTATGGTGGTGATATTCTTGCTTCCATGGTGACCGACATATTGCCACCAACGCCGCACTCCAGAATCACCTTTCCCATGCGGAGGCAACCCCCTGTGTTGGTGTCGGTGTCCGTTTTGATGCCTCCAGGATGAGTTCCGGGGGAGGACGACACTTTCGAAGCTCGATGTTCTCGGCCGTCCGCTTCGCTTTGGCTCTCGTTCTTTTAGCCTTGATCACCAGGAATAATTTCGAGCGCCCCAGAAAGTATCGAAACTCAAGGGTTTCCACGTGTCGGGCCCTGGGAAACACTCGCCCGACACTGTTTCGACACTCTGTCGGCACTCTTTTGACATCTTTTCCGGGTGCTCGAAATTATTTCTGGGATGTGGTCCGTAAGTAGGATGGGAACAACATAAGGCTCCCGCAGGTTTCCTCCGGCCTCGGGGGAGGATACCCCCCTGGGGCACCCGGGCCCTCCTCCTCCTCCCCTTGCCTCCTCCTCCTCCTCCTCCTCCTCCTCCTCCTCCTCCTCCTCTTGCCTCCTCCTCCTCATCCGCCTCCTCCTCCTCCTCCTCCTCCTCCTCCTCCTCCTCCTCCTCCCCTTGCCTCCTCCTCCTCCTCCTCCTCCTCCTCCTCCTCCTCCTCCTCCTCCTCTCCTCCCTCCTCCTCCTCCTCCTCCTCCTCCCTCCTCTCCTCCTCCTCCTCCTCCTCCTCCTCCTCCTCCTCCTCCTCCTCCTCCTCCTCCTCCCTCCTCCTCCTCCGCTCCTCCTCCTCCTCCTCCCCGCCTCCTCCTCCGCCGCCTCCTCCTCCTCCTCCTCCTCCTCCTCCTCCCCCTCCTCCTCCCCTTGCCTCCCTCGGCGCCGCCCGCCGCGGGCTCGCGCCGAGAAGCTCGCCGCGGAACCCCGCCCCGGAGAGCCAGCCAAGAGCGCCCAAGAGGCCCCCAAGATGGTACACCAAGGGTCCGAGATGCCACAAGATCGCTCCAAGACGGTCAAAATAGCCCCCAGACGCCCCACGAGGCTTTCGAGAACACTCCCAAGAGTGCCCCAAGAGGCAAAACTCATTGCTTTCCTCTAGGTGTTGGGGAGATTTTGGCGTTTGCTCGCCGCGGGACCCCGCCCCTGAGAGCCAGCGCAGGGGAAAAAAAAAAACAGCCCCTCCCCCAGGCGACCGGGGCAGCCAATTTCGGAGGTTGATAGACCTCCTACCCTGGCACGTCGATTGGTGAATTGGCCGTTTTCGGTTCGCGAGAGGGCGTCGCGGCCGTCATTTTTGCGGGTCCAGGTCCGTCGGTTTCTGTCCCAGGCCGTTTTCATTACGGGGAGGTTTACTACAGGGAGGTTTATCCACCGCCGAAAAAAGTAGCCGCTCCCCCAGGCGACCGGGGCAGCCAATCAGGAACCATGAACCCCCCCCCCACACCATCCTCGTCAAAACCATACCAACCAGACTTTGGGGCAGAATCTTGGGCCATGCTCGGTGGCTCCCCGAGCACTTTGCACTGTTTGGGTGGAAAGTGACGGCGGCTGCGTTATCATGCTGCCTGCTCTGCGCCAGGCCACCACCCCTGTCAACAAACACTAGCAAATACGCTTCGCGGCGATGATCTGGATCATGCGCGGCCACCCCTCGATGAGTGTACATTGGTTTTTGACAAGGACAGCGGGCCCATTCCTCGATACAGAGCCGCTTCTGGCGCCTGGAGGCGCCAGGAAAATCAGCTGCGTAGGCTGATTCTCAACCGCCTCCGTTGCTATCCCCCCCTTTCGCCCGACCCGAGAGAGCCAGCGCAGGGAAATAAAAGCAGCCCCCGAGAATTTTGCGAGCCCCGCGTCGTCGTAGCGCCTGCGCCAGTCGGCCTCTCCAAGCACTGTGCGGGCCAGCCGCAGGGCGTTCTGCGGCCTCGCTGCAGCCCGCCGTCGCCGAATAGAGGGCTCGCGCCGAAGCTCGCCACGAAGCCCGCCCCGGGGATCCAGCCCAGGGAAAAATGCCGGGCGGAGGTTTTTCGCAGCCCTCGGCCTCCAGGGGCCCTCGCCGGGCCTCTGGGCCGTCAAGGAGCGGCTCGGGATGAAGAACGGGTCATAAGGAATGGGTCGAGATCCCCTAGGACCCCGTGTTGGAGAAATCCGCCTCGCACCCGAGGGTTCGTTTCGATTCGTCCGGTTGGATTTGATTCGACCTGAGTGGCTCTAGGCCTCCTAGATGGGGTCGGAGTAGATGGGGTCGAAGGATCGTTCCGCACCGCCGATGCACCGCCGATGCGGCTCGGTGCGGAGCCCAGTGTGCTCCACGCCGACGCCGCCGATGCACCGCTGACGTCGCCGATGCATCGCTGGCGCATCGCCGGCTCATCGCCGATGCATCGGCGAGTTATCGGCGATGCGGCGCGATCCTCCGACCCCCCATCTACTCCGACCCCATCTAGGAGGCCTCCAACGAAGCTAAGGGGTCTTGAGCAGGGCTCGCTTTGATTCCTCCGATTTGATTCGGTTCGACTCGGGTGGCTTCCGATGCCGATCCGATTCGACTCGGGATCACGATTTGGGTTCCGATTTTTCATTCGAGGCATACTGGCCTGCCAATTTCCGTCGATCCGATTTTACCCGACTTGGCTGCCGATTTCCGCGGACCCGATTCATTTCGATCGCCGATCCGACTTATCGATTCGATTCTTGGCTCTCCTGGTCTTGAGGGAAACGAAGAAGAAGAAGAAGAAGAAAACGCCATAAACATAAATAAATTTTGGGCGCTCCGCGCGGATTTCTTGGATCCGCACTGGGCCCCCTCCGGCGCCGCCCCTGCCGCGCTCAGCGCGCCAGGGAGGGGGGTCCAGCGCAGATGCCAGAAATCCGCGCGGAGAGCATGGGAAAATATTGGGAATCCTGGGATCTGTGTCTGTTTATTTGCGTGTCCACTGGGCCCCGTCCAAGCTTCTCTCGATTCCCTCTCGGTGTCGGACTCCATAGGGGCCCCCAGCGGGCTGCGGGACCGCCACAAGCAGCTACTCTCTGGACGGCCGGTCCGCGTGGAGGGCCCCTGCTTGGCACTTAGTGGGCCCTGGAAACGACAGGGCCGTTTTTTTACCGGTTCCGTTTTGCAGTTTTTGTTGCCGGTTCCCACGCCGTTTTTTTACCGGTTCCGTCGCCGTTGTTTGACCGGTTCCGGCTCCGGTTCCAATCCTGGAGCCGTTTTTTGCTGTTTCCGGTCGCCGTTTTTTTTGCCGTTTCCATTTTCAAGGGACATTTTTTTGGAAACGGTGAAAAAACGGCCCTGCCGTTTCCGGGGCCCACAAAGGCCTGGCATCGGTCGGATGTGTGTTTTTTCCAGGCGAGAGCCATCTAGGAGCACTCCGAACCATCGTGCGAAACGATGCACGCCCGAAGCCGTAGCATGCACAGGGAATGGACGTCCGAGGGATGGCAAGCCTGGAGTCCAGGACGCGTCACCCTTGGGGCCCGAGGTGCCAGCCAGATGCTGGCCAGGGCTCACTCCAGGACAGGCATGTGGCATCGCGCGGACGTGTGCCTGCTTTCTCGGCCAGCACCATCGAGCAGCATCCTGGATCAGCTGCGAAAAAGCTGCACGCACGAAACCGAACAGTGCATGGGGAATGGACGTCCGAGCGATGGCGAGGGTCGGGGGGTCGACTTGTCGACGCTGTGTCCCCAGACCAGACCCCCAAACGGGTCGATTCTGTTCAGTCCCGGCGTCCTTCATCGGTTTCGGCTCAGAGCTTGCCTCTGTAGGGGTCCTAGCGGATTCATATGGTTAGGTGAGATGTGCCGCCGATTTCGGCGGCGGGCCCAGGTGCCCGGGGGGGCCCGAGGTAGCCCTATATCTTTATAGCCCTATAGCTTTACAGCTCTAGAGCCCTATGGCCCTGTAGCCCTATAGCTCTATAGCCCTGTAGCACTATAGCCTTAACAGCCCTGTAGCCCTATAGACCTATAACCCTATAACCCTATAGCGTTATACAGGCTTATAGCCCTATAGCCCTGCAGCCCTAATAGCCCTATAGACCCATATCCCAATAGTCCTATAACCCTATAGCCCTAGAGCCTGATAGCCTTATAGCCCGATAGCGCTAGAGCCCTACAGCCTTATAGCCCTAGAGCCCTAGAGCCCCAGCGCCCCATAGCCTGTAGCCCTATAGCCCTAGGGCCCCATAGCCCTGCAGCCCTAAACATATGATGATTGGGGTGTTTATCTTGTCTCACATATATATATATATATATATGTGCTTTGTATATAATAATACAGATATATATATAAAAAAAATATATATAGATATGAATGTGTATGTATATACATCAGTATATACATTTCGGCTACTGTTTCCTCCCTCACTCCTGCTTTTCCCCCGCATCCTTTTCATCTTCCCCCCTCTCCCTCCTGCTCATCACCTCAACAAGTTTTGAAAGGGCACCCTCGAGGGCGCGAAGTTATCCGCGCTTCGCGCTTCGGCTCCGATTGCTCCTCGTCCTCCTCCTCTCCCCTGGGAGGCGGCGCGAGAGCGCGAAGTTTGTCCGCGCCTCGCGCAGCGCGAAGCGCGCGAAGCGCGCGAAGCTGGGAGCCCTTGACAAACTCCCCCGGCATGGGGCCAGCTCGAGATGCGGCGCGCTGACGCGGAGGAGGAGGAGAAGAAGGATGATCAGGAGGACAAGCAGCAAGAGGGAGCAGGAGGGAGCAGGAGGGAGCAGGAGGGAGCAGGAGGGAGCAGGAGGGAGGATGGGGAGGGATGGGGGATGAGAAGGAAAGAGGAAGGACGATGAGAGAGGAACGAGAACGCTCCTCGAGCTGGCCCGCTCCCGGCTGCTCCCCCACCCAAAGGTATCCGGCTTTCTGTAGTGGCAGGCTCGCTTCGTGTGGGCGCGGCGGCGGTCCCAGCGCGGGGCGTTCCAGGGGGTGCACGCCGCCTACAGCGACGTCGGGCCTGTCCCTCTACAGGGGGAGTCTGTGAAAGTAATCAAAAACACTAGTCTAAGGACGGTTCTTCGTCTATTTCTTTTTTGTTCTTACTATTTTTGAGTATTGTTTGTGCGTATTTTCAAATTCTCGCCCAAAATCCGTCTGCAGGGGAACATGCCCGACCTAAGGCTGCAGCTGTGAATCGGCCAATCTGGAACCGTCTGGCGATCGAAAAGCTGCCGACCGTTCAGATTCAAGGTGGAACGATCATCGAAGACAAAAAACACATGAACATAAACTGTTGGCGCTCCGCGCGGATTTCTTGGATCTGCGCCTGGGCCCTCCTGCGGCGCCTCCGGCGCCGCCCCCGGCGCCGCCCCTGGCGCGCTCAGCGCGAATCCAAGAAATCCGCGCGGACCGCCAAAAGTTGATGTTTATATTGCTTTCTCTTCTTCTCATCAACGCGGCGTCAGAATCCAATTCCGGGGTCTTCACGACACGAACTTGCAGGATGGTTGTTGCGCCAGAGTGACAGGCTGGCCATCGTTCCACGGGCTCCCTCGGGGGTAACGCTTCACGGCCGTCCTCGAGATTTGGCTCGCGGGTGAGGGCGGCGCTGGCCCTTCCCTTGGGATGGGTTTTGTATACGGTCGGACCGAGGCGCGCAGGTTTTGGCTTGCGCAGGATCTCATGTCATTGATCGGGGCTCAGGAGACGGAGGCCAGTGCAAACGGAGGTCAGCCAGAGCGCCCGTTTTTGCAGGATCCTGCAGGGCCAGGGTCGCTTCGACCCAGCTTTGGGAGCAGGATCCTGCAGGATTCTGCAGGATCCTTCGCACTGACTTGGGCTTGGGCGCAGGATCGTGCAGGAGCTTGCAGGATTCTGCAAGGCTTGACTGACCCAGGTCTGGGTTGACCCAGGTCAGAAGATCCCCGACTTGAGGTATGGTCTTCTGGCCAAGGGCCGACTGTACCAAACCAGCTTTCAGGAAGGGCGGAGTCTGACCCCAGCGAGACGTCGGCGACCCCGCCCTAACCGTAAGCCAGGCATGTCCCTCTACAGGGGAATGTTCAAAAATATGTAACAAATATTCAGGGGGCGATATCTCAATTATTTTTTACTATGTTGGTGTATTGTTTCACTATGTTTAACTTTTCGTCCAAAATCCGTCTGTAGAAGGACACGCCCGACCTGACCCGATCTGGGTGCCGATCAGAAGAGGTCCCAGAACCCTAACGCGTGCGGGCGTCGTGGCACAGCAGAGTTGGATTCCGCTGGAGGCCACTCCTGTTCAGTCCCCACAGTGCAACCCCTTCTGTCGACCCTTTCGAGGTTTTCTCCTGGGAAGGGTTGAGTAGTCAACAAGGCCTTGAGTGCGTCCTCATCCCCAGACCTTCGACGATCCGTAGCCGCTTTGGTTCAAGAGACTTTGTGGCTCTCTTGTTTCCCTGCGCGGCGCTCACCTCTGCTAGACGGAGTGCCACCATGCCCACCATCGTGGACGGCGTCGACTTCGACACCGTTGCCCGCGAGTGGAGGTGCAAGTGGAGCGGGGATGGCGACAAGAAGTCGTTGGCCGAGGCCCAGGCAGCGCTGTCAGCGCTGCTGCCTGAGGTTGAGGCGGTAGCTGGCCTGAAGAGCGTCCAGCGTGTCGTTTGTGGAGGTTGTCTGGATTTCAAGGTCGTAGTGGCGCTTCCAGTCGCAGAGTTTGGCGCCTGGGAGAAGGCCGGCTTTGCACCAGAGGGCAAGTTTCTGGCAAAGCTGAATGGAATTCCTGGCATTACCAAGGTTGAGACCCAGACGTACACGATCATGCCTGCGAAGCCCGTCGAACCCATCACGATCGCTCCTGGCGTTGAGTTCGACACCATCGCGCGGGAGTGGCGCTGCAAGTGGAGCGCCAACAACGACAAAAAGTCCTTGGCCGAGGCGCAGGAAGCGCTGAAGGCTGTCATGGCGGAGATCAAGAGCGTGAAGGGCGTGAAGGATGTGCAGCGTGTTGTGTGCGGTGGCTGCCTCGACTTCAAGGTTATCACTTCATTGCCGGCCGACCAGTTCCCGGAGTGGGAGAAGGTTAGTTTCGCACCAGAGGGGAAATTCTTGGACAAGTTGAAGTCGATCAATGGTATCTCGGCGGTGGAAACACAGACCTACACCCTGATGCCAGCTAAGTCAAGCAAGGTTGCACCAACCATCGACCTCAAATCGGCGGCAGTTGGAGTGGTGGTCGGGTTTGCCGCGGCAGTGGTATTGAGGGCGCTGAAGTAGGCATAACCAAGACTGAGCGCGTTACGATCTGCGCGATCACGCGCTGCACGCGAGCGTTTTGGAAATCGGCCAGAGTAATCCGAGAGTGCGAACTGGGATGGCAATTCGTCCCGTCACCCCAGTCTGGAGGCCGCTTGGGCTTTATGGCACGATTCGACCAACCTTTATCAAGTCTTCCGCGCAACCAGGCGCAATGCCTTAGGTGGCATTGTCGCACTCGCCTCCAGTTTTGCTGAGTTAGTTCGTGTTGTGCTAGGGAACCTACAGAGGGGTCTCGTTATCTTCCAGCATCTTCTTTTGCCAGCTGAGGCTTCTCCCGCACAGCTTGGCCACTAGGTCACAACATATCATAGGGCACGGGCCCGTGAAAAAAACCTTCCTCCGACCATCTTAGTGTCTTCGAGTCGCCAGCACCTGGCATCGAAGGTTGCTCGAGGTGATCCTCGCACGTCGGGCACCCCCACCACTTCACGGCGCTCTGTAGCCACCAGGGGCGCTCTGGGCCTTGTGATGGACGCGGACCCTTGTGGCCCCGGCCTCTCCGGCCTCTTCTGTCGGCGGCCCGACCCGACAGGAGCAGGAGCAGGAGGAGGAGCATGAGGACGAGGAGGAGGAGGAGCAGGAGGATGAGGAGGAGGAGCTGGAGGAGAAGGAGAAAGTCCAGGAGAAGGGAGAGTTCGAGTAGGATGAGGAGGAAGACCAGAAAACAGGAGCAGGAGGACATGGAAGGAGAACCATCGAGCCAGAGGAGGAGGGCGAGGGGGTGGAGAGCGTCTTTGAGAAGGAGCGGGGGAGGTGGAGATCGTGTATGGTTTCGGCTGTTGGCATGCTGGTACCGAGGATGCTTGCGATATTTACGTATGGCTTGTGAGTTTCACGGGGATTCCGAGAGCAAGAGGAGAGATGTATGAGGAGGAGGAGGAGGAGGAGGAGGAGGAGGAAGAGGAGGAGGAGGAGGAGGACCACGACGACGACGACGAGGACGAGGAGAGGAGAGGAGGAGGAAGAGGAAGAGGAGGAAGAGGAGGAGGAGGAGTAAGAGGAGGAGGAGGAGGAGGAGGAGGAGGAGGAGAAGGACAAGGTTGACGATGAGTACAGGGAGGAAGAGGCTTCCCAGCGGGCTCGTCCCCTTTGGGGGGGGCCTCTGGGGGTCCCTCCGTCGCCACGGCCCAGCTGGCTTCGCCCGGAAGTCCTGGGCCCAGGGATCCGTCCAGGAGGGGACCGAGCGACGTTCTGTGTGGCAGTGTACAGGAGGGTCGCAGGTGTTATCTCACCCCCAGTCCCAGAGATGCGGGCAATATTTATATCCATATCCATTGCGTCGTGGACTGTCATGGAAAGGGAACCGCAAGGCTGAGGCGCACTGGATATGATCAAACATGGAGCCTTCACTCATAGGGGCCAGATTCTTATACATATCCAGTGCGCCTCGGGGTTCTGGGGAAGGGAGCCAACATCTCCGAGCTGCAGTGGATATCTCACGAGTCTTGCCCTTACGAGGTCCCCCCAAGCAAGATCTGGCTGGGTGTCGGCGTCGCCGCCGCCGTCATGGCCGTGAACGGCGGCGTCCTCAGAGCTCTTTCCAGATGTGGCCAAGCCCCGGCGGAGAGTTACAGTGGAGGCCCATGCCAAGGAACACCCTGCTTGCCTCCAGGGTGCCCTGGGTTTTCTTGGGTTTCGATGGTTTTGCCAGAGAAAGCAAGGCGTTCCCACACCAAAAAGCAATGGACGTCCTGGGGTCTCAGGGTTGGGTTCCATGCGGAATTTTTCCTGTGCACTCGCCTCCACTGTAATGGCCGATGCCGTGGCCGCCGCCAGCCGATGGCTGGCGGCGGCATCTCTGCCCGTCGGCGCGGGCAGGGCGCGGGGGAGTCGGAGCTGACACTCGGCCTGCGGGACCAGCTCGAGCAGGCCGCGCCGGCTGGGGAGGGGGGGAGTGCGGCGCTGCTTGGGGAGGACGCGGGCACAGTCTTTTCTCCGGCTAACGCAGGTCAGCGCATTCTTAAAACAATGTATTGAGAAAGAGATGATCCAGTAAAACGAGAAATGGATGTACTGCATTGTGCCGCCTAATCAAAACAAGACAACACATCTTGAGTAGACGCAAGAACCGTTCTACTAACTTCAGCGGGTTTTCTAAATCCGAGGCCGGTGTTCTAAATCCCAAACCTTATCATTACCATGAGTTGAGTGGCTCGATGGTAATTGACCACCACCATCAAGATCCTTACAGATCCGCGTTTGCCTTGCTTTGCTTCAGGGAGCAATCTGCGGCCGCCCTCCTGCCGCCAACGGCAACCAGGGTCCAAACCCTCTCCTGAGGGCCGAAACAGAATGTATCGGGACGCGTGCGGTGTTGTGTGTCTAACTTTGGTTACAAAGAGGAGAGATTCTAATACACCACCACCACCAGGAGGTGCTGGTCCTTTTTCAGGAGCTCCCCCCGTGGCGACCGCGCGCCGCGCCGCGCTGCGGTGGCCGCTGGTCCGCACCCTACTCTGGCATGACCTGACCCTGCCTCCAACCATTTTAAAACAATTGTTCTTCGTCGGGCGGTTGTAATGTACAAAAACTGGCGTCGAAGAGAAGGATGGATGGAAATGATGATGGTGATGGTGGATGTGTTGATGGTGGCGATGATGCTGTTGGTGATGTTGGTGATGATGGTGGTGGTGATCATGATGGTGGGGATGAAGATATTGATGGCGATGTTGGTGATGATGGTGATGATGATGATCATGATATATTATGTGTTGATGATGATGGTGATGGCGATGGTGATGATGATTGTGGTAGTGTGATCATCGTGATGGTCAAGATGTTGATGATATTGTTGGTGGTGGCGCTGATGCTGATGCTGATGGTGATGATGATGATGATGATGATGATGATGATGATGATGATGATCCCCGTGTCTGAAGGGGTCAAGAGCTCCTAGCTCGTACCGCCCCTCGGACCGAGGCGTTTCCATTTGGCCCTGCGGTGGCAACGCTCGGTTTCGTGCGCCTCGGCACACACACGCAGATCGCCCGAATGCCGAGAGCAATCGACCGCCTCAGCGCAGGCAAGCGGGTGACCGCACCAAGCAGTCGAAGCGACTCAGCACGCGCGGCAGCCGACCCGGCCACGCTGCACGGTCAGGCATGCTGGACACAGTTGAGTTGTACGCCGCGCCTGAGAAGCAACTGGGCCCTTAGGCAAAGGCCACGGCTGACCGACGTTGCTCCTCAGGCCTGCGGGGATCGAACCAGAGCGTGGGCGGACCTACGCTCTCGGGTCGCCCTCCACGTCGAGGGACGAGCGGGCACAGACGCGAAACGCGCCAGAAGCTACATTGAGCAGAGGCGTGCAGGCACGCCGAGACGGAGGCAATCACCGAGAGAGGGCGGATCTTCATGAGGGCCTGCATGGTCACTGAGCCTGCGCCCTTGGCCAGGGCAGGCGACCTCGCCAAACAGAGACACTAAGGCGGGGGGGAACATGGCAACGGTCGAAGCGGCCTGGCAAACCCAGGCCGCCTCCGTGCCAGGCCCCTCCCGCCTCAGAGGAAACAATTCACACCACCTCCCGACTGGCGGAACCCCAAGGCCCGATTTCCAGGGGTGGCTGCGAGGCACCAGCGCCGCCAAGCGGACGGCCAAGGGCAGAGCAACTTACCGCCCGTCTGGCGGAACCCCACGGCCCGAGTTCCAGGGCTGGCTGCGTAGCACCAGCTCCGCCAGACAGGACGAACGAAACGGAGGGGAGGGCAAAGGGCAGAGCTTGGGCACGGAGCGTGCCGCTAAAAAGAAGGCGAGAACAGCACAGACGAGACCCATCAGCAGAGCAACGCGTCCATCGGCTCAAGGCTCCACACAGGACTGGTTGCATTGCCAGTGGGCGGAGCAGATCCCGTGCGTGGGCGAACCTGCGCACCTGGGTCCGCCTCCGCTGAAGCTCGTTGCGAAGGCAGCCGCAGTTGCTGAAAGCAGCGCGATCACAAGCCATGCTGCGGAGTGTCGGAGCCCGATCCCGTGTGTGGGTGGACCTTCACACCTGCTTCATCTTCCGCTGCAAACAGCACGTCCCTGCGCGCGCGCACCGAGCAGAGGCCATGCACGCGGCGGGGGGGCCCCTTAGAGCAGCGGTAAGCGACCTGCCCGACAGCAGCGCTATTGTCCACCTGGCACCAGGCCACGCTAGGACTTGTTGCATTGCCGGCGATATCGGGCCCGATCCCGTGCGTGTGCGGACCTACGCACATGGTTCAGCCCGCGGCGCAGGGGTTCAGGGTCACCGATGCTGCCCTGCCCTGATGGCTGCACCCACGCTTGAGGCGTCCGAGCGCCGCCTTCTGCTTGTCGCTCGCAGGCGCCCCCGGACACAACTTCGCCAATCCCGACATCCTGACGCTCTGCGTCCAGTAGCCGCACTTGACGCTGAAGATGTGACTGCTTGCTCGCCACAGCTCGTGGGAGTCGTGCGGGTCGAGCCCCCGCCGCGGTGGAAGCGCGGGTGGGGGCATGGGCGGCGGCTGCGCAGCAGGTGCCGCCACCCGTTCCTCGCAAGCTGCCGCGGCCGCGCTGCCGCTGCCAGACGAGGCCCCCCCCCCCCCCCACCCACACACACACACACACACACACACACACACACACACACACACACACACACACACACACACACACACACACACACACACACACCCACACACACACACACACACACACACACACACACACACACACACACACACACACACACACACACACACACACACACACACACACACACACACACACACACACACACACACACACACACACACACACACACACACACACACACACACACACACACACACACACACACACACACACCTCCACCGCCACGCTGAAAACCGTCATCTGCAGCTGCTGCGCCCTGCGAGCCGTTGGCCTGGCTGGAGAGCAGGGCCGCGCTCGCTGAGAGGAGGGCCGCGACCGCGGCAACCGAGCCCGAGGCCCCGTCCGAGCCCGAAATCCACGAGCCCGAGATCGCCTCGCCCCGACCCGCGCACTCTTGGCAGTCCCAGAGCGCGCCGTTGCCGACCTCGAGCCATGCGCCATGTTTGCCGCATGCCCTTCGCGAGCAGTCGCAAAAACTGCAGCGGCTCCTCCAGCGCAGCTTGCATCCCTGCCAGTCGAACCGCGCCGCCGCGATGCCTGGCCCATCGTGGCCGTCCGCGGCGGTCAGCTCCGCGCCGCCCTCCTGGTGGGCGGCTTCCAGCCGGCGGAAGACCTGTCTGGCGCAGGCTGCGCGCGCCAACCACCTCGTCCGCGGGGTGCATCTCCGCGCCCTGGATGGCGCGAGCGTCCGCCCTGTGGTTGCCCCTCCATGCGCCCTGCGCTGCCAGTCGGCGATGAGCTCAGCCTGCGCGTCCGCCAGCGTCGCGCGGGCCTTCGCCTTGTGGACCGTGACGTTGTCGATGCCGATGTCTTCTAGCGCTCGCCACAAGCGGACCCAAAGCTCACGGTAGGGTCTTTGCCGCGGGAGGCACCGCGCCTGGCCCGCTGCGAAGCCGTCCACGAGCAGCCGGCAGTCGGTGTAGATCCTGACTGGCGGAAGGCAGTCCTGCGCCCCTTTCGATGGCCGCGGCGAGCTCCGCGGCCCCCGACTCCTATGGGCATGGCCAAGGTAGCGGGCCGAAGATGCTGAGGGCCTCCTCGCCGCGACCCATGACAGCGGCAGCCCAACCACCCCTTGTGGAGACCAGGCTGGGGTCCAGGACGCTGCCGTCGGTGAAGAGGTCGCCAGCATGGTCGGCCTACAAGGTCGGCGCGCCCTTCCTTGCGCGCCAGGCGCTCCTCCGTGGGCAGAGGGAGTGGGCGCCTTTGCTCTCTAGCCAGAGCCCTCGACCACAGCGGGTCCTCCGCTGCCTCTGCGCTGGCCATGTCGACGAGGGTCCCGAAGTGGATGTCGTCGGGCGGCCTCCTCTCGTCTGCGTCGTCATTGGCGCCCCGCTCTGCGCGGCCGAGCGCGGTGGCAGGGCGCCTCCTCGCCAGGCGACGCACCGCGCCGCTCGCATTGCGCCCGCGCGGGCACCAAGGTGACGGTGCCAACGGCCGCTCCTCTTCGAAACGGCGTGCCACTGGCCAGAGACAGCCGCCCAGCGCGTTCTTTGCCGAGCTCATCTGTCTGGCCTCTTGTTGGTTCATCCGCTTGCGGTGCTGGGTGCGCCCGGTGCTGGACTGCCGCTCATGACTGGCGCCAATGTGCTTGGAGAGGTCGATGGGCTGCCCCGGGTGCTGAGGAAAAAGCTTGGTCGCAGAGCCCCCCATCCCAGGCGATGGCGCGCCAATGCGCAGGCCGAGGCAGGGCCCCTGCCTGCCAACGCCCCAGGCCCCATCCGCAGCCCTCCTTGCCGAGGCCCCTGCGAACGCGCTCCCGAGTGCTCGCAAGTCCGCGTGCTCCGAGTTGAATTGCGCCGCCTCGGCCCACGCCACGATGGGCAGCGTCGCGCGGTCGACGAGCGCGTCGCTGGCCAGGCGCTTGCTGCGGAGGAAACTGAGGCAGAGGCTCTTGCCAGGCCCTCTGCCGCGATGAACGGCATTGACCTGCCTTCGCCACTTGGTGAGCTGCTGCGATGGCCGCCCCACCGAGCTCAGGTCCTAACGGGTGGCAGGCCTGAGCCCCGCGTTGGCGACCCGCGCTGCTGCTGGTGACGGCGTGAAGCTTCTGCAGCTGCGCTGCCGCCTTGGTGTGGCGCGCCTTGAGCACCGCGAGTGTCTGGCTATCTAGGCAGTAGTCCACTCCCAGGTTCTTGACCGAGTCGGCGATGGGAAGGGCATTGGCCCCCGTCTGCTTGGCCACCAGTGAGGCCAGCTCAGGCGAGCTCGCGAGCAGCTCGCTCTTCGACTCCGACACCTTGCAGCCCAGCGCCACTAGCTGCGCCGCCACGGCCTTGGTCGCCTGGGCGACGTACGCCGCGACCTGCGCCATGGGGCCGCGGCAACCAACGCAGCAGTCGTCGAACGCGATGGCGAGGGTGACCCGAGGCGCCAGCACCCGCCATAGGCGCGCGTGCTCATCGGCCAGCACGAGCAGTCCGCACTTGAGGGGCCGTCCTGCGCGCGAGCAACCAGCGAGGAGGCCCGCGCCGAGCAGGTAGAGGTCATGGGCGCTGCCGCCGAACATGAAACGCCGCGCGCCAGCATACAAGGTCAGCGCCATACCCAGCAGCCCTCCCAGGCAGCCCGCCATGATGCTGCGGTCCTGGATGATCGCCAAGTCGACTAGCTCGTGGGCCTTCCACAGGTCGATGAGTGATGCTGCAGCTCCCTCGCCCCGTGCCTGCGATGCCTCGGCTCGGAACGCTTGCCGCCAGACGGCCTCTTCGGCCGCGCGCCCGCGGCCGCCCCGGAATGCGCCCGCGACTCCTGGGTCAATCTGGGAGTCCCAGTGCCGCGCGCGTGGCTGGCGGACGCGACTCCAAAGGCGTGGGAGCCAGCCCAGCAGGCCTATGGGCCGAACGCCCCCTTGAGGCCTGGGGGGCATCACCACGAGAGAGTCGGCAATGACGTCAGGCCACCCGCCCAGCTCCTCGCACCGCATCCCGAAGTCGATGATGACCTCCAGCAGGGCGTCGTTGAGGTCCGCTGCCTTTCTGGGGTTTAGGCGATCGCTGCCGACCCCAGTGCTGCGCTTGAACGTCTTGGCGGCCTGGCGCACCCGATCGGCCGAGTGCCTTGGTAGTGCCTTTGCCTCGGTGGGCGGTCGCCGCGGGCGAAAGCGATCGCCTTCGCGCCGAGCCCGCCAGACCTCGGAGGTCCACTGCTGCGCCACGATGTTCACTCGGTCGGGGCCGTGCGCTGGAGCTCCGCGTAGCTCGTCATCAGGTGCCCAGCCGCGCGGTCCTCGCCGATCGGCGGGTAGGCCCACTGCCCCTGCCGCCATGGAAGTGCGGAGCCTTTCCTTGAGCCCCTGACCGCGGATGGCGGCAAAGGCGGCGCCCCCCGCCTCTGCCGCAGCCCTGGCTTCGGCAGCCCATTCGACCAGGGGCAACAGGTCGGGGCAATCGGCCGCCAGGGCAACGCGCGCCGCCCACTGCGCCCCCAGCGGGAGGCCCTCCATGGTCGGGGGCCTCGGTGCTGATGCGCCTGCGCGTGCCTCTCGGCCGTCTGCGCTGCCGCCGCCGTAGCTGCCGTCGCCCCCGTCGTCGCTGGAATCCGACGGGAGGTCGCCGTGGTAGCGCATGGAATGCTTGACGGCTTGTGTGTAGCTGTAGAACTCGACGTCCGCGATAGCCCGCGCGTCAGGGGAGCTGGATTCAAGGGCGGCCATGCTGCGGTGATACTCGCTCCTCACAGGCTGCGCGCCTGACCAGCTCCCCTCGCGCAGCTCCACAGCCCTGTCCCAGCGTGCCGCTGCGCGGTCCATGAAAGGCTGCTCCGTGCAGGTGCCGACCGCGCCATCCCTGCTGGTGCTGCCGCTGGCTGTGGGTGCCGCCGTCGAAGCCGATCCTGCCTGCCCCATGCTGGTGGCTGCTAGGTATCCTCCACCTGCCGCCGCCAGCGCGGCAAAGGAGCCTGGAGGGGGCTGGGCTGGGATCGAGCTGACCCCCTCAGCAGATGCTGCTCCCCTTGCCGCCTTTGCGTCTGCGCCGCCGGGGACCCCCGCGGCGTTCACGTCGGCGGTACCATCGCCCTCGCATTGGCTGATACGTGCGAACGCGTAGTGTGGGCACAGCTCCATATGATGCTGCTGATGATGATGGTGATGATGATGCTGGTAATGGAAATGGTGGCGATGGTGGTTGTGGTGATGATGATGGTGGTGATGATGGAGATGGTGATGACGATGGTGGTGGTGATGATGATGGTAATGTTGCTGGTGATGATGATGTTGATGATGATGGCGGTGCTGGTCCTTTTTGATGATGATAGTGCTTGGAATGGAGAGTATAATGATGGTTATGGTGGTGGTGCTGGTGAACATGTTGATAGTGATGGTGATAGACTATGTTGATGTTGGTTATGATGATGGTCGGTGTGACTGCGCTGATGGTGATGGTGATGATAACGGTGATGATCATGATTGCGATGGTGGTGGCGTTGGTGAAGATTGTGAGGATGATGGTGGTGACGATGATGATGATGATGTGCCTGATAATGATAATTGTGATGATGGTGGTTATGGTAGTTGTGCTGGTGTTGGTGACGCTGGTGAGTATGATGGCGATCCAGTTGGCGCAGGCTTGCTTCAGGGAGCAGTCCGCGGCCCCCCCCCCGCCGCCAACGGCAACCAGGGCCCCCCCCCCCTCTCCTGAGGGCCGAGACAGAATTTGTCGGGACACGCGCGGCGTTGGTGTATACACTTTGGTTACAGAGAGGAGAGATTTTCATGCACCACCACCACCAGGAGGTGCTGGTCCTTCTTCGGGAGCTCCCCCACCGTGGCGCCCGCGCGACGCGCCGCGCTCCGGTGGCCGGCCGCACTCTGGTGGCCGCGGGTCCGCATGCCTATTCTGGCATGACCGTGCCTCAAACAATTTTTTAAATTTGCTCTTCGTGGGGCGGTCGTGATGTACGAACATTGGCGTCGCAGGGGGGGATGGACGGAAATGATGATAGTGATGGTGGATGTCATGATGGTGGTGATGATGTTGTTGGTGATGCTGATGATGATGATGATGGCGGTGGTGGTGATAATGATGATGGTGGCGGTGGTGGTGATGATGATGACGATGATAATGATAGATTGGGTGGTGGTGATGATGATGGCGATGGCGATGGTAATGATGATGATGTTGATGTTGATGGTGGAGGTGGTGGTGACAATGGTGATGATGGTGACGTTGATGCTGATGATAGTGGTGGTGGCGATGGTGCTGGTGCTGATGCTGGTGCTGATGCTAATGATAATGATGCTGGTAAGGGTGATGAAAGTGATGGTGATGGTGACGGTAATGATGATGGTGGTGATGATGAAGATGGTGATGACGATGGTGGTGGTGATGATCATTGTATTGGTGGTGGTGATGATGATGGTGGTGATGATGGTGGCGCTGGTCCGTGTGATGATGATCGTGTTTGTGACGGTGGTGATGATGTTGGTGATGATGATGGTGTTGGTGATGATGTTGATGCTTTTGGTGATTGACTATGGTGATGTTGAAAATGATGGTCGTTGTGACTACCCTGACGATGATGGTGATGATGACGGTGATGATGATGATGATGATGTTTGCGATGGTGGTCGCGTTGGTGACGATGACGATGATGATGATGATGATGATGGTGGTGATGACGGTGATGGTGATGATGATGTGCCTGATGATGATTATCATGATGATGGTGGTGATGATGGTGCGTATGATGATGATTCTGACAGTGATTGTGGTGATGATGGTCACGATGATGGTGGTGATGATGGTCACGATGGTGCGTATGATGTGTCTGATGATGATCATCATGGTGAGGGTGTTGGTCACGATGGTGCGTATGATGATGATTATGACAGTGATTGTGGTGGTGATGGTAATGATGACAATGTTGTTGATGCTAATGGGGATGATGATGGTGTGTGGTGATGGGGTTCATGGTGGTGGTGTTAATGGCGATGATGTTGCTGCTGATGATGATGATGATGATGATGACGATGGTGGTGATGATGATGACCATGATGAGGAGGAGGATGAGGATGAGGATGAGGACGATCATGGCGATGATGATGATGCTGATGATGGTGATGGAGATGGTGATGTTGGCGGACGGTGATGATGCTGATGATGCTGCTGATGACGGTGATGATGCTGATGATGCTGATGATGATGCTGATGATGGCGATAGTGATGATGATGATGGTGGTAATGATGATGGTGATGATGATGATGATGATGATGATGGCGGTGATGATGATGTTGATGATGTTGATGATGTTGATATTGATGATCATGATGATGATGATGATGATGATGATGATGATGATGATGTTGTTGTTGATGATGCTGATGATGATGATGATGGTGATGATGATAATGATAATGATGATGATGATGATGATGATGATGATGATGATGATGATGATGATGATGATCATGATGATGATGATGATGATGATGATGATGATGATGATGATGATGATGATGATGATGATGATGATGATGATGATGATGATGATGATGATGATGATGATGGTGATGGTGATGATGATGATAGGGGGGCACATGCGAAACCTACCCCTACCCCCCACGATTTCTGCAGGGGACGGTGCGGGGTCACTTCTGGGGTCCCGGGCCTCCTCCGGGGCCCCGCCACCTTCCGAGCAGGCCTGCCCCACTTCCCCTCGAGGCGCCCCGCCGATAGCGCGACGCTCCCGTACACGGCCCAGCGGGGGCGGGAACGCCACTGCCGGCGCCGACTGGACCTTCGGCGGCGCCCGCCGCGTGCTGGCTGCGGAGACGCGCTCCAGGTCCTGGCCAGCCTCCCCAGAGATCCAACGAATTGAACAAATCACGACCGAAGTGCTATGCTATTTTCGGCCTCTGGGGGCCCTTACGGGGCCTCGGGCACCAGCAGGAGGACGAGGACAAATCTGAGGAGATGGGGGGCGGCGGCGAGGAGGAAAGCGACGAGGGTCGCCGCGCTCAGCTGCCAGGTAAAGCGGCAGTTCGAGGCCTTCAGGAAAAGCTCCGGCAGGGAGCTCGACGACGCGCGCGCGCAGAACAGGGAGCCTCGGGCGTGGCCCATTATCGTCGTCGTGCTCTTCCTTCGTGGTCGCGCCCCTCCTCGTCCCCTCCCCTCCCTCCTGCCCCTTACTCCTCGTCTTCCCTCCTTGTCCTCCTACTTCTCCTCGTCCCCCTCTCCTCGTCCTCGTTCTTCCTCCCTCCTCCTCCTCCCCCACGGTGGGAGCCCGCCCAGGCCGTGCTGGCTTGTTGCCTGGCTTTGGCCTGCCTCGCCAATGGGTGCTCTGGAGGCCACCTGGGCTTCCCAGGAGATCCTGGCGGTCCGGGACACTTTACTTTTATGTCTTGCGTGTCTCCCTACAGGGGGATTTTCGACAAAAAAAATACCCCCAAAATACACCCAAAATGACAAAACATATTCAAACAATAGTCCCCAGACTATTTTGTTGATTGTTGTTTGTATTGTTGTTGTTTTGTCCTTTAAAAAACAATTCGTCGAACATCCCCCTGTAGGGGGACAGGCCCGACATAACCTTACTCCGAACATAAACTTCTGGCGCCCCGCGAGGAGTTCTTGGCTCCGCGCTCGGGCCCCCGTGCGGCGCCTCCGGCGCCGCCCCTTGGCGCGCTCCGCGCGTCGGGGAGGGGGGTCCAGCGCGAGTCCAAGAGATCCGCGTGGAGCGCCAAAAGTACCGTTTTTTATACGTGCTCCGCGTGCGGATCATGTATCCAAAATGCAGAGGTTCAGCATTACAAACAGCGACGAGTTCATGCCTACATGTATCCATGGATGGACCATGTATTAAAGTCCTAAAGTTAGTATTTTAAAAAAGTCTCATGTATAAAACAAGCATGCCCTGTCTGTGCGCGAGTCCGCTGGCAGCACCTGTGCGCGAGTCCGAGCGCACCTGTGCGCGAGTCCGTGGTTTCTCCCCCTGCTGGCAGCACCTGTGCGCGAGTCCGAGCGCACGCCGGCGCACGGCCGAGCCCAGCAGAGGCCCCCGCCCTCCCCCTGCCGAGGCTCCGGCCTCCCCCCCCGCGCCCCCGCGTGCTGGGCGCGGGTGGCCCCCCATACAGCGGTGCGCGCGCGTCTCGGGCGTTCGTTGATTCGCTCGGTCCTCCTCCTCCTCACCTCCTCCGCCTCCTCCTCCTCCTCCGCCTCCTCCGCCTCCTCCTCCTCCTCCTCCTCCTCCTCCTCCTCCTCCTCCTCGTCGCCTCGCACAGCAGCCGCGGCCCGCCCTGCCCCGCCTCGCGCAGCAGGCGCCTGCCCCGCGGCCCGCCCTGCCCCGCGGGCCGGCCCTCGGCGAGCGGCGCCGCCCCGCGGCGGCCCCGCGGGGCTCTGGGCTTGCTGCTGATCTGGGGCTCTTCGGGCGTCGCGGAGGCCTCCAGAGCCTGTCGGGCGCCTGTCGGATGTTCCCCGCGGGGGCAGGGCGGGGCGGGGGATGGATGCCCCCTGACACCCTCCCTCTGCCTCTCCCCATCCCCGTCTGTCTCCCTTCCTGCTCTCCTTGTCTTCCCCGCCGTGGCGGAGTGCGCGTCGGCATGCCCGTTGGATAGAGAGAGAGAGAGAGACGAGACGAGAGAGAGACGAGAGAAAGACAGAGATACAAGAGAGAGAAACGAGAGAGACGAGAGAGAGAGAGAGAGCGATAGAGAGAGAGAGAAGGTACTTCGAACTTGGAAATGCTCGAACCCCGTAGCTTTGACCCTGGACCTCAATCCTAGAATCTAAGGGAAACAGTCGGGCCCGTTCCTCGATTCTCCAGCCGCCTTCATCCTCGCATCCCGCGGTTTCCCTTCTGATCCTCGAATTTTGCCCAGCCCTCGCAACCCTAGGTCCTTGACCACCCCCCGACGGCGGAAGCAAAAAACGCCCCGGTGATATCCCTTCGGGGGACGGGCTCCCTGGCGGCGCTGCGCAAGCCAGTGCGCTCGTGGGGCATCGGGGCCCGGGCCTTGCGCCCCCGCTGAGAGCAGGGAGTGCTTTTCGCTGGAGTGGCCGTTGATGCGGGCGCACACGGATGGCCCGAGCACTTGTCCGTGCGCTTGGACGTGGGCCCAGGAGGAGGAGGAGGAGGAGGAGGATCGACGAGGAGGAGGAGGAGGAGGAGGATCGAGGAGTGAAGAGGAGGAGGAGGAGGAGGAGGAGGAGTAGGAGGTGGAGGAGTGAAGAGGAGGAGGAGGAGATGAGGAAGATGAGATCGAGGAGTGAAGAGGAGGAGTAGGAGGAGGAGGAGGAGGAGGAGGAGAAGGAGGAGAGAAGGAGTGAAGAGGAGGAAGGAGGAGGAGGAGGAGGATCGAGGAGTGAAGAGGAGGAGGAGGAGGAGGAGGAGGATCGAGGAGGAGGAGGATGGAGGAGTGAGAGGAGGAGGAGGAGGAGGAGGAGAAGATGAGGATCGAGGAGATGAAGAGGGGATTCGGAGGAGGAGGAGGAGGAGGAGGAGGGGAGGAGAAGAGGAGGAGAGGAGGAGGATGAGGAGGAGGAGGAGGGAGGAGGAGGATCGAGGAGGGGAGGAGGAGGATCGAGGAGTGAAGAGGAGGAGGAGGAGGGAGGATCGAGGAGGTCGGGGATTAGAAGGAGAGAGGAGGGAGGAGGATCGGAGGAGTCAGGGAGGAGGAGGAGGAGGAGGAGGAGGAGGAGGAGGGAGGAGGATCGAGGAGGAGGATCGAGGAGTGAAGAGGAGGAGGAGGAGGAGGAGGAGGAGGAGGCGTAGGAGCGAGGAGCGAGGAGCGAGGAGCGAGGAGCGAGGAGCGAAGAGAAGGGATTCGGAGGAGGAGGAGAGGAGGATCGAGGAGGAGGAGGAGGATCGGGAGGAGGAGGAGGAGGAGGAGGAGGAGGAGAAGGAACAGATCGGCACTATTTTTGGCGGACCCGTTTTTTGCTTTATTGTTATAGGTGTGATGTTTCCTCCCGGCTCTGCCTGTAGGGGGACCCGCCCGACCTGAGGCTGTGAGGGGTCCGTGGCGCCCGCCGCGGGCGCTGGGCGCGCCCCGCCCGCGCGCCCAACGCCCTTCGCGAGGAGCTCGGGGGGAAGGCCGAGCAGCTGCTCTCGGACTTGGAGGTTCGCGCGCACCACGCGGCGCGGCGCCGCGGGGGGACGGAGGAGGAGGAGGAGGAGGAGGAGGAGGAGGAGGAGGAAGAGGAGGAGGAGGAGGAGGAGGAGGCAGGAGGAGGAGGAGGAGGAGGAGGAGGAGGATCGAGGAGAATCGAGGAGGATCGAGGAGAAGGAGGAGAGGAGGCGGAGGAGGAGGAGGAGAAGGAGGAGGCGGAGGAGGAGGAGGAAAAGGAGGAAAAGGGAGGAAAAAGTAGGAGGAGGAGGTGGAGGAGGAGGAGGAACGAGGATATCGAGGAGGATCGAGGAGGAGGATCGAGGAGGAGGAGGAGGAGGAGGCGGAGGAGGAGGAGGGGGAGGAGGAGGAGGAGGAGGAGGGGAGGAGGAGGAGGAGGAGAGGAGGAGGCGGAGGAGGAGGAGGAGGAGGAGGAGGAGAGGAGGAGGAGATGGAGGATGGAGGAGGGAGGAGAAGAGGAGGGGAGGAGGAGGAGGAGGAGGAGAGCGAGGAGGAGAGCGAGGAGGAGAGCGAGGAGGAGAGCGAGGACGAGGCGCAGGAGGAGGAAAAGGAGGAGGAGGCGGAGGAGGAGGATGAGGCAGAGGAGGAGGAGAAGTAGGAGGAGGAGAGCGAGGAGGAGGCGCAGGAGGAGGAAAAGGAGGAGGAGGCGCAGGAGGAGGAGGAAGAGGAGGAGTGCTGCCATGGCCGCGCCTTCCCCCCGCCGTGGCCAGAGCACAGTCAGCGCGCAGAGGAATGAGTCGGCCGAGGTTCCTGAGGGTGACCTTTGCATCCCTTCCTCTTCGGTCAATCCTTACAGTTGAGCCCGTGCCAAGAAGCAACCTGCTTTCCTCCAGGGTGCCCCCTGGGTTTTCGTAGGTTCCGGTGTGCTTGCGACGGAAAGCGTGGCGCTCCCACGCCAACAATGAGTGAGCACTTTTGGGCTCAGGGTTGGGTTTCTTGTGGTCGGGCCCCCAGCGTAGCCGCTGTTGCTGGCCGCGCCCCGCTCGAATAGCCTCGACACGGCCTTCCAAGGCCCTTGCATTTTTATCGTGCGTCCGCATGATACGGGTCGACTTGCGATTCGATGCGGGGTGTCCGACCCCGGACCAGACAGGTGTCCCCGGCCCCACGGTGTACCCAGCACTGCTGCGGGGAAGCCGGAAACGTGGCCGGGATGCCTGCTCTTCCATTCGTTTCCAGCTTGGCCCAGGATCTCTGCAGCCTTGTACAGCCCCGGCGACCTCATGCCAACCGCTTCGGGCGTGCTTCAGCCGCTGCCAGTTCCGCCAGCCCTGGCCACCTCCTCTTCCATGGCGCTTCCGACTTCACTCACCTCAAAGAGCAACAGCTCTTCGCACTCACCCACCCGAGCCTTTCCCAGCGACAACGTCGGAGTGGCCGGGGAAGGCATCTGTCTGAGGGTCGGCGGGGAACAGCACAGGCGTCCACTTCGCTTCCCGCTCTTCTGCGCACATCGGCTTGACGCCCTCTGGCGCCGTCGTGACCTGACGCCCTCTGGCGTTTTCTCGTCGCCCTCTCGGCGGCCGGCGACGACGACGTCCTGGACCGCGCTGCCCGTCACTGGCAGGTCGCGCGGACGATGTCCCAGAAGCAGGGCGTGATGGAGATGCACAGGGCGAACATGAAGGCCCTCGCGCTTGGACGCTGCGGGAGATGACGGCCAGGATGGCGAGCGTAGTGACAATGCGATAGCGATGATGGCGAAACCGACGGTGGTGGTGACGATGGCATCGACGATGCTGCTGATGGTGATGGTGAGGATGGTGCTGGTGGTGGCTATGATGAGCATGATCACGACGAGGATGACGATGATGGTGGCGATGATGTTGATGGCGCTAAGGGGGAGGGTAATCAAGGTGTAAAAGTAGGCGGCTATCGCGGTGAGGATCTCAGCTCGGGAGAAAGAAATGGTAATTGTTCGCACGGCGGACGGATGAAATCGCAGACCGATTGCCGCGGGGTGGCGCGATCTGGCGTTTCCCAGTGGCTCCTCGGAGGTCGGGGGCCTTTCTCCGGGGGGCCGCCGGCGGCCGACAGGATTGTCTTTGTTGGGCGTCTGTCGGCGGCTTTGGGTGGGTTGCGAAGCCTACGGTAAACGCGCCCAGTAAGGACGCGCGCCTTCATCTAGGGTACCCTTGTGTCCTTGCCTCTGAGGCCCGTCCTTGCCATTATCACTGGTCGCCCGCCGCCCTTAAAAAACACAACTTCGGCCTCTGAGGGTCTTGCGTCCTTGTCACCCGTCCTTCATAGACGTTTTGACTGTATTCGTGTTGCGATGTTTGAAAGGGCGCATCCCCCTCAACAAAAGCCAGGGGGGACGGGGGAGAGGGTTCTGGACCCACTCACACCTCGGGCAATTGTAGTTCGAGCAGTCCCGAAGCACCCCCTCCCCGAGGGAACATCATTCGAGGGGTCCAGATGCCCCCTCCCCCCCCGGCCAGCGGCGACGACGACGATGACGACGACGACAATGTCGCCGCCGTCGCCGCAAGCGACGCCGACGACGTTGACGACGACGATAACCAAAACAACCACAAATATAGTAGCGACGACGGCTCCGACGCCAACGCCAGCAAGGACGACGACGACGACGAGAACGACGACGACGAGAATGACGTCGACGACGACGACGACGACGACGACGACGTACGACCAGGACGACGACCGCGACGACGATGACAATGGACGACCACGGCGACGCCGACGCCGACACCGACGTCAGCGACAACGACGACGACGACAACTAGAACGACGACGACGAGAATTACGTCGACGACAACGACGAATGCGACGCCGATGACGACGTCGCTGCCGGCAAACGACGACGCCGACGACGACGATCGAGTTCAAGTTGGACGCGATTCAAGTTACAGTTGGATGGAGCCCTAGTAGGAATCCATAAAGAAGGATTCAGCCCTGGGAGGATTCTATTAGAGAGTATTGGGATTACATCAGAAATGTATTCAGCCCTGCTGTAGTAGGATTGTATCAGTTACAGCATTGTCGAGCCCTACAGGATTTTGTTAAACATAGACTCACGATCTTGTTTCCGATGCTTGTGCGGTCGGCGCTACAGCAATACCTGCGCGAGATTTGTGGGCCAGACGCAGGTTTTTCCGGAATCTGGCAAAATCCTCGCTGCACGAGCATTGAATAGTGTGCGTTCTAACAGGTGTCCGAGCCATCGAGCGCCATGCTTGTAACAGCGTGTCAATTCATTTGTGACGAGGTTGGCCGCCGTCATCCAACATGGGCCCCAAACAGTGCGGGGTGATAATCATCGATGCTTCGGCGTTAAAGATTCAACACAACAGCGACCCAATAGCGTTCACCGCACAATTCTTTTCGCTAGGGATGGTGGCCAGGTAATTGCGCAACTACCCCGCAGTTGCTCCGCCGCTGTCCACGCGACCTTGTTTTTGATCTGGATGGCAGTTATCGGTGCTACGGGGACGCTTGTTCTATTCAACACTTACTCAGATGTGTCCACCGTGCCCGGTTCTTTATCATGGTTGGTGGGTTGGGTATTTGGGTGTTTGACCTTCACCAAATGCAGAGCTCACCTCGTCGCCTTTTCTCGACATTCTACACGCACCCAAGTACCCAAGGACCCGCCTTATCATTCTTGGCAAGAAACCAGGTACGGTGGACACAGCCAGGTCATGGTTGTGTGAAAATACAGTGCCGTAGCATCGATCATTAACCTCCATATCAAAATCAAGGTCGAGGGAGCAATGGCCGGGCATTTGTGGGGCAGCTGCGCAATTACCCAGCCACCATCCACTGTAAAACATGTTGCGCGGTGGGCGCCGGCGGGCACCTGTCCCGCGAAAAGGACGCCGCGGCGACGCCGACGACGGCCTGCCTGATGTGACGCCAGTGGGGCGGGCGGCGGGACTCGCCTGCGCGGCGGCGGCGCAAACGTGTAGGCCAAAACCCGGATAGTGGAGCACCAGAAGGCCGTCCACCGTCCAGCCGGGGCGGCCAAGAGGGGGGTGAGGACTAGGGGAGGGGGGATCTCATGGCGGGGGCCATGAGATCTACCCAGATGTGATTGTCCCTCTACTTATTTCAAAACGTCCCCGGCCCCCCCGCTGGGCCGTGCACGTGCCGCGCCCCCCCCCCCCCCTCCCCCTCTTGGACGCCACTCCTCTTGGTCACCCCCGATAGAAGGCCGTCCAAGGGCCTCTCCAGGGAGCTCTGGAAGATCCTGGAAGGAGCTTCCGATGGAGCTTCTGTAAGGAGCTTCTGGGCAGACGTATTGGGAAACGCTTAGGCCTGCCGAGACACGCTACAGCTTCAGGCAGGCCGCGCCGGGGAGCTTTCACCGAAGCCAGAGCGAGCTCCGGGGTTATTTTGCGGTGCCGGCTTCTCCTCCTACAACCCCGCAGTCCTCCCAGGCGCTATCCGGGAAAATGCCCCGCCGCTGCGCCCTTCTCGGGTGTTGCTAGAAGTCACCACCCACCAAACCATCCCAACCCAACCCGAAGGCTTCAAGTTGCCCTCCATTTCCAGTGGGGGGGGGGTCGGGGAACATCGAGAAAACACATGTGGAACCCGTGCCCCCCCCAACCCGAAATTCGGGTCTCCGGGTTGGGTTGGGGTGGTCTGGTAGGTAGTCAAGAAGTACCTCTGGCCCAAGGTACCCCCAGGATTCTCGGGGTGGCCCAGACGGTCTCCAGGGCACCCCTCACGAGGCCCGGGCCCCAGGGGCTCTAAGGTGGAGCGAGAAGCTGGGGGGTACCTTTGACCAGGGGCACTCCTATCAGGGGGGGAGAAAACACACACAGACACAATGAATCGTCGATTCCCAGGAGGATATGGGAAACTGTGGGAAGTGGGGGGGAAGACGAGAATCCCAGACAGATGGGAAAATGGTGGGAATCCTGTTACATTTGTGTGTCTATTTATCTGTGCGCCCTTTTGGGCCCCTTCATTCACGCAGCACCTGACCTTCGGCGGAGCGAGCTCTCTGCTGGCTCCGCGGCCCGAGAGCGGCGCGCCCGTGCCGGTCTTGCGGCGCGGCCGCGCGGCGCTGCCTTCCCATCAAGCAGTGGCGAAGCGTCCCGGCTCGCCTATAGCCCCACCAAGCAATGTTCTAAGAGCCTCTTGTGGTTCCCACGGAATGTTCACAGAACATTTCTGGCGGAGGTTGTTTTGGTGTATCGCATGGGGCTTGTGCTCTAGGAACTTTGTTTATGTTCTCAGAACCTTTTTGGGTTCTACGAGCATGTCGTGGTAGGACTGTAGGAATGCCGGGACCGTCGGTCCCTGCGGGAAAAAAAAACACAGTGGGAGAAAACACACACGTGTTTTTTCCTACAGTGTCTGTGTGTGTGTTTTGTTTTTTTTGTCTGTTTGTGTGTGTGTGTGTGTTGTGTGTGTGTGTTGTTTGTTTAATCCCCAGGCGGCGGCGGCCCGCCGCCCGCGGGCCCCTCGCCAGGGCCGCCTCGCGGGGCGCCCCCGCGCGCGCGCGGCCCCGCCGTGCGCAGAGGCGCCGCGCGCCGCGGGCCCGAGCCCGCGCGAGGCCGCTCGAGGGCGCCGCGCGCGGCCCGCACGGGCCGGCTCCGGGCGGCGCGTAGGTCGGGACTGTCAGGCCCCCGGAGGCCAGGACACGGACAAACCAAGGACACGGAAAACCAAGGGAAGCGACATCCCTTCCTGCAAAGTCACGCTCTTCAGCGCCCTTGCACGTTTTGTTTGCTGCACTGCAGGGTTCGGGTCTGTGTCCGGGTTTAGGGGTGTCTTGCAGGCTTTTGGGGCCTGTGCCTGGGTTTATTCTGGAAGTGCTGCGGTGCAGTATTTTGTTCGTGCCGCCGTTTGGAAAAATTTGGTTTCGAGGGATGTTGGGTGTCCGGGTCTAGCGTGTCGGGGTCTACGGGGCCCTGAGCCTGTCCATTTACAGGAGGGATACTCAAAAATAGCAAAAACATAGTCGGGGGACGATGTTTTGAGCATTTGTTTGAGCATGTGCGGTGTATTTGTTGGGTGTATTTTTTTATATGGTTCGCCCAACAATCCCCCTGCAGGGGGGACAGGGCCGACCTAAGACTGCGCGCTCAGCGCGGGACGCTCCTGACCATGATTGTGGAAATCGATTAATGGAGAGGGAGCATGCTGCCAAATAGTCCCCAGCTGTCTGAAATATGTTCCAAGCATGTTTTGAGTATGTGGAAAACATGTCTTAAACATGTTTAGAACATGTTTTACACATTAAAAAAAACACATCTTTAATTCAATGATAGGACTGTTAGGGTTTCCATTGTCGTGGCTCAAGTCGGGCCTGTCCCTCTACAGGAGGAATATTCAAAAATGGCATTAAATAGTCACGGGACGATTTGTCGAGTGTTTTTGAGCATTTGGGGAGTAGTTGTTGGGTATTTTCTTTATGTTTCGCCCAAAATCCCCCTGTAGGGGGACAGGCCCGACCTAAGACTGCGCGCTCAGCGCGGACGCTCCTGGCCATGAGGAAAGGAACTCACGAGAACGCAGTGGGTTGGTGGACGTCGGCTCGACACCTGCAGGAGAGCAAGACTCAACACGTACAACAACAAAAGACCGCGCAACCAAATCTAACGGGCTTTCGTTTCCGATGCCTGTGCGGTCGGCGCAGCATCAATGTTGGCG